CCACAAAATTAGCTGTTGGATTTACTATAAAGATGCTGTTGAAGATACAGTTCACTATCAGTCTTGTTTTGAGAAATTGTAGGACAAATTTATCTCTGGTCTTAGTACTCTTCCTCTGAGCAACTGATTTGTTACTATCTTATGGATACTGAGACTATCATAACTGATCTTGTTTTTCCTTATTACAACATCTGCCAGAATTAAAGTTAAGTGTTCAGGGGGTGCCTGGGTGGCTCAGTCGTTAAGCGTCTGCCTTGACTCAGGTCATGATCCCAGGGTCCTGGGATCGAGCCCCACATCAGGCTCCCTGCTCCGCGGGAGGCCTGCTTCTCCCTCTGCCTCTGCCTGCCTCTCTGCCTACTTGTGCTCTCTCTCCCTGTCAAATAAAATCTTAAAAAAAAAAAATAGTAAGTGTTCAGGACCCTAGAATATGTATTTCTGCATTATTCTTCTGTTTTCTTGTTGTCCGAATTTTCCCATTTTAATTATTTTAAATTTGATTTTGCCTATTAATTTTTTGTAAGCCATGTGTTTTTAGAAATAAGCAAGGTATAATTTTTTTAAAAGTATGCCAAATATCTTGGTCTTTTAGGTGGTGTACAACAACATCTTCCCTACTAGACAATAAGCACCAAAAGGATTTGTCTTGTTTACTCCTAGTGCTTACCACAGTGTGTGGCACAAAATAGATGGCTGGCAAATTTCTCTAATAACTTAATGTTGATGACTCTCTTTCAAATTACCTCCTCCCTGGTTTTGGGGGTACCGTTCTATCCAGTTTTTCTTTTACTGTTCTGGCCCCTTGTTTCTCCTCTATAGTCGTCTCTTTTTTTCCTTGCCTCCAAATGTTTGAGTTTCTTTAGGTTTTGTTCTACATACATTTTCAATTCTCACTCTTTGTGCTCTCCCTAGAAAACCTAATCCAGACCCAGGTTCCCGTTACTGCTTATATGTTGAAGACTCACAAATCTGTACTTCCACTTCTGACCTATGGCTTGCATCCCAGACACATATATTCTACTGACTCCTGGGCAGCTTCATTTGAATGTATGAGCTACTTCAAATTCAGTATACCCTAATGGCACACATCATTTCCACCCCTAAGCCTGCTCCTACTTTTACTAAAAGTAGTAAAAGTCCTGTGGTCCTCAATGACACCTCCATCTCCCCAGTCACACAACCCAGGAATCCTAGACTCTCTTTTAACATACCAACACATTCAATCAGCTACCCAAATCTTGAAGATTTAGCCCCTCAGATATCTAGATACATATTTGAATATAAGGGCATTCATCAAACCAGTCATTTGTAATAGCATGAAAGTAGAGTAGCCTAATACCCCCAAAAAGAAAAATGGCTAAATAAATTACATAACCACTTGGGGCTTCTGAATAATATGACATGGAAAATATGATCTAAAACAATAGCAATTAGGATACATTATTTCATATCATATCTTATATACATAAAGTAGCTTATCTCTCGTCATAGTAGTAGTATTGGTAGTAAGCAAATAAGTAGTTGTAAGTTCCATTCTCATAGGGGCCTTTGCATCAACTCTTCTCTCTCTGTATAATGTTTTCCACACCCTTTGACTAAGTCCTAAATGCACATTCATACATTAGGTCTCATTCAGCCTAAATGTTACTTCCTCAGGAAGTCCTCCCTTTTTCTTCTTTCTAAAGACCTTAGAACATGTACTTTGGGGTATTATGGACATACTCTTATAGTGACCTGTACTTTTTATTCATGGTGCTTATCAGTTTGATAAGTATTTGTGTAATTACAGTATTTGTGTAATTATTTCTTGAATGTCAACCTCCCTCCCTAGACTACAGGATCTGTAAGGGTAGGGTCTATGCTTGCTTTGCTTAGTACTATATCTCCAGCACCAGTATAGCTCCTATCATGTCTATTAAAAAAAAAGAAAAAGTAAAAGAACGAATGAATGAGCTACATCAATGGTTTTCCAAACACGTTCTGAGGCAGTGCCTTAAAAGGCCATAGTAAGGGACAAGGGAGGTGTCAGTGGTTGCCAATTCCCAGGTCATTTTATTTGGATTATATATTGGATTCTGGCATAAGACTGTGTTTATAAAAGGAACGCCAGTGCTTCAGTAAAATTGTACAAACCCCTGAATTAGATGATCTTGAAGTCTCTTCCATCTTCAGTATTCTGTGATCCTAGATGAAAATAACAAAGGGCAAACGGGATATACCATAATTAGGGAGTGACTTTCACCAGTGAGCTTGGCTGTGTTTCCTCCTGAGAGCAAGGGAGCTCCTTTTCCCTCTCTTAGATAATTGAAGATTTGAGGGACTCTTAGCCCTTTCTACTTGGCCAGGATCAACACCCAAGCCTACAGTTTTCTCTCCTTTGCTATCTTCTTTACCATCAATGAACTGGTCTTTTCCCCCTTACTTCTTTAGTGCTTGTTCCAAAGACCCTAGAACCCAGCCACTTGGGGCTACTTGTAGTTCCCCTCTCACATTCCTGTACACTCTCATTCATGCAGTTCCCTCAGTTGACAAGTCTTTTTTCTCTGCTTTGCAAACTCATGCTATAACTCGAATGCCAACCCTTGTAAAAAGCCTTTCCCAAACCTCCTCTGTTCCCACAATATTTATATCTCTACATAGAGCCTCTGCAGTTCAAATTACATAACCTCTCTAAGCCCATTTTTCTCATCAGAAAAATGTGAAGAGTCACAGGTTGTGTTCTCCAGGAACCAGATACTTAGATGATTGGTGTGCAGATTAATTTGGAAATGCTCTTAGGATCATCATTTGTGAGGTTAGGGAAGAACTGGGCAGAGGAAGAAGTCAAGCCGTGATGTAATCTTAATGGAATGCATCAGCTGATGCAAGTTGTTCTACAGATAGGATGATCCACTAGAACTGTCCCATGTTGAGGTGAGAGGGCTAGTCCTTCCAACAAGGAAGATTTTATTAAAGATTTTATTTATTTATTTGATGGACACACAGACACATAGCAGGGGAAGTGGGAGGGAGAGGGAGAAGCAGGCTCCCCACTGAGCAGAGAGCCAGATGTGGGGCTCCATCCCAGGATCCTGGGATCATGACCTGAGCCAAAGGCAGACGCCCAACCAAGGCACCCAGGCGCCCCCCGTTTCAACAGTCCTGATAGATACTACTAGTGGCTCTACACTGATCAGTCATTTTGGATGTGGCCTCCTTGGGAAAAGGTGTGACACTGAACAACACCAGAAGGGGCTGACAGTTCATGGCTGTCTATGGAACACTCCTGGCTACTGGTAATAAGTCCTTCATTTCTGAAGTGTATCTGAGAAGTAACTTTTGGTGCCAGACATTAATAGTATCTTTCTCAGGATTGTTGGAAGATTAAAATATGATAAGTGATAAAAAGTAGATAGCATATTGCCTGCCGCATAGGATTCTAGAAGAGATGGTTGTTACGGTTATTATACAAAAAACTTGGTTCTGTAAGTATATAGAGCAAGGTAGGGAAACCTTGTTTATTTTTGTGACTCTAGTCCTAGAATAGGGCCTGGAACCAATTAGGTTCAGTAAAGGCTTGTTGATGTGTTAATATAAAAATATACCTGTCACCTTTTGTCTGGAAGGAGATGTTATCTTGAGTTGAACTCTCAACTAAAACAAATATAAAAAGTCAATTCAACCATTTAATAACTTACAAGAAAAAAAAAAAGGAGGCACGTTATCCACTTGCATGAAAAAAAAAGTTCCAAAGACGAGGAAAACAAAAGCAATGAAGTAGCAGTACTTGACAAATGCAGGAGAGCTCCAGTTAAAATGGCTTCTGGATTTTATATTTTTTGGAATATAATTTTCTAACTTTAGACAGGGAAGGAGATTTAGCTCAGCTTTTCCACAGCTCATAAATGGTGAGAGTGTCAATGGAACTATGAACCCAAGGGAAGTACTTATCTCCATGAATGTTTATTGGGCTTTAATTTTCCTGCATGCCCAATGTAGTTTGTTAACATGTTTCATTTATTTTTTTAAAGTTTATTTATTTATATAAATAATCTCTATGCCTAAGGTGGGGCTCAAACTCACAACCCCAAGATCAGGAGTCGCCTGTTCTTCCGAGTGAGCCAGCCACAAGCCCCTGTTGTCATGTTTTAATACAGTATTTATTAAGACTTCTTTGTGCCTGACACAGGTCTGGGGACACAGCAATGAGCAAAAGTTACAAAGTCCCTGCCTCTATGGATCTCACCTTCTTGGCGGCAGGAGACCGACAAAGTCTGTACGTGATAACTGTTAGGCAGAAATATACGCAGGTGAAGAAAGAGCGAGCGGTGGTGTGAGCGTGCTCCTTTGGATAAAGTGGTCTGGAAGCCTCAGATGTTGACTTTCGAGAAGGGAGTTGAAGTACGCATTGAACATCAACGAGTTAACTGAAGAGTTCTAGTCAGAGGCAAAAGCAAGCTGAAAGTCTTGAACTGGACAGAGCCCTGCGCGTTGTACGAACAGCCACAAAGCCAAAGGGGTGAGCTGGGGGTCGTGTGGTTGGAGATGAAGTAGGCAGGAGCATATATAATATCCATATATAGTTGAGACCACACCGCTAAGGGAGCTAGGGTGTCCAAATTTTTCAAGAGGCCACAAAGGGCAGGATGGAGCGGACTTCCAACAGCGGGGCTACAGTGACGCCTTTCCCCTACAGAAGCAAAGGGCCGAGTTAAGACTATTGCAGGGTATGAACTGGGCCCTGCCCTCAGAAGACCAACCCTCGTGCAGGGAGGAGGGCTGACCGCGGGGGCGGACCTCGGCATCTCCCAGGCCTCCGGCGCTGCACGGGCCGCGGTTACCGGCAGGCGGTGTAGTGAGCGCGCCTGCAGCCGCCGCCGCCCGCCCGTCCGTCCCAGCGAGGAAAGAGGAGGGGACCGGAAGGAGCCGCTGGTGCTGCGGGAAGTGGCAGGAGCGGGAGGCGGGGACCCACCTGGAAGCGCCGCGGCGCCGCTGTCGAGCTTCCTGCGGCGGCCACCCGGGCAAGTGCCGTGGCGGGGCCAGAGAGCGGCCACGGCGGCGGCGCCTCCCCGAGTGGCCCCCGGCGCCCTGCCCCGCTTGAAAGGTGAGCAGTCGCTCGGGGCATGTGGTGGGGGCCAGACATGGGGGAGGGAGAATGGAGGAGGAGGGAACCCGGGGCACCATCGACTTTGGAACCCGGATTTGGAGCTGAGTGCCGGGAGGGGGTGGGTTGGAGGCGGCGGCGGCGGCGGCAGCGACGGCGAAGCCCCCACGTGGGGTGGGGGTGCGCGCGCACGTGTGCGCGGGCGATAGGGGGGCGGGGAGGGCTCTTGGGAGGACAAGCGCGCGCTCGCTTAGTAGCGAGCCGTCCACGTGACGGGCACGCCGAGAATCTGCCTCCACGTGACAGGCTGGGAGGCTGGTTGAGGCAAAGGGATGTTGTCTGTGTGGTATAACCGTAATCTTTGGAGGTTTTAGGGTTTCCTACCGCTTTTCTTTACTAGGGGGGATAGATGAGAAATAAAAGGCGGAAAAGCCTTTCTGCTGTTTCCTTGTTCTACACATTCTCCGGTCCGTTAATGAAGCACTTTCCAAGTTCCGAAAGGCCGATTTCCCTGTACCGCCATGTTGGTTCTAGAGGAAACTCGCGAGATGCTAGTGGGTTTGTATCGCGAGATCTCTCGATTCTCGCGGGACCTTGTTGGCAGAGCAGTTGTCCTGGATGGCGAAGCCTTGGGTTCCGGGGGCCTGGGACCCGCAACTCTTTCTACAAGGCAAGTTGTTAGGGAGGGGCCGGGAGCGAGTGTCTCTTGGTGCCGGGAGACGTGCTAGGTTAGCTTCCTTTAGTCCTGAGGGGACTACGTTGACCCCATTGAGGCGACACGGTCCTCCTCCCCACCCCCCTGCGGGCGCTCCGCCACCTGCAGAAGCGTCTGCACCCCTCAGCCCCGGCTCCTTTTTCCCCGCGCAGTGATAGTTCCACCCCCGTCCCGCTCCCTTGGAAGTTCAGAGCCATTCTCGCGCAGTCGTGACGATTCCGTTGGATACTGTTGCTCTTACTTTCAAACGTTCATGTCAGTTTTTCCCCTTGTTGCCATTTTCTAAAGAATTCCAGACCTGTTAACCAATTCTGTCGCTTGTTTCTGCGGCAGTACCTTTCTCCTCTGGCCATTCTCAGACGCTTAAAACTAAGCGCCTTCTGTTTTTTCTCTCTGGGCATCATTTACTCCCACTTACTTGGTCATTGATAACTTCCTCATGATTCTGACTGACTTTGTATTTACAATAATTTTTGGCAGTATTTGGTAGGAGCGCTTATATCTCTGACAATACCTGATGTCAGAATAAAATCTTTTTTAATCTTTTTGTGCGTGCCTATTAACTCATAATTATCGATATGATTTTGATTACTATATTATGAGGTTGCCATCTTTGATGTTCAAGGATGGTTTTGGGTCACATGTTTAAAGTAATAGTGGAATGTTTTAAGTCAAAATTTTAGTTAAAACCGAACTTATCTTCATAAACTCTGGTATCAAGGTTTGGTTTTTCTTTAAATAAGTTTGACATAAAATTAATTTTTCTCCAACTTTCGATGTCTTACCAGAAATGAATTTACAGTGTATTTTTTTTTCATATTCTTGAACAGTCTTTGAATTTATTTAGTATTCGTAGTGGGAAGTTAATTACAAAGCTAGTCAGATAACTAGGTAATCCACTCATAATTTTTTGTTAAGCTATGAAGGTGTTATTTTCCTTTACACTTAATACAGAGAAGTATATAGAGTAAAACGCTCCCTGTTACTCTGCCAAGTTGCCTTACTCAGTCTTAAATCTCTGTAACCGTTCTTAGCAGTAGCTGTGTACTATTCTATGTATTTTTTTTTGACGAAGAGGAGGAAGTGGAGTGGTGTTTTAAGATACACTATCACAACATTAGCAATCAGTAAAAATTTTTCTACTCAGCTAAATTTTTATTTAGTGATAAATGCCTATCGTCTTGACAGATACATGCATATTTGCTTTTTAAAAAGAAAATTCTTTGTACAGAATTTTTGGTGATAATGGTTTTGTGAAAGTATCTTGAGGGATAGCATTATTTTTGTCCTAGAGATTTAGTATACTGGTTAGCTTTGCACCAAAATGAAATCCATGTAAAATAGGATTTAAAGAAATAAGGATGTATCAGTTGAGCTTTATATTTTTATGTTTAGTATTTGTGTTATATATTTATCCTTATATTCATGCTTATATTTTGTGATACTTATATTTTCTAAATTATAACCCAAGTATGTGTATGGTAGTTTTCCAGAAGTTTTAAAAATTATCAGCTTAAATAGTTCTGACTATGCAATTTAGTGAACTCAGCAGGAGAGTGGTAGGTATATCACTAGTTAATGCAAACAAATGTACAACTCAGAAGTTGCTAAGCAGCATTTTGTGATTTTTTTTTTTAATTCTCCCCCCAAACCTACTAGCAGTATTACTTATCAGTCACATGAAAGTGACTTAACTCTTGGGCAGTGTGGTTTTCTTTTGTAATAGTTCAAGTAGGAACGTTGGGGAATGAAAGTCTTGAGAGGTTTGATGTGGGAAAGAGGAAAAGGAGACGGGGGACTGTGTAGTTGGATACTGAGATGAAATTGAAGTTGCACAGAAAGGAGAGGATGGTAGAAGGTTGAGAGAGCCATGATCTAAGACTAGGCAGCAGGTTCATTATGGTTGGAGGGCAATTTGAGTTGACCAGAATTTGGAATCTGTAATTCCAGGCAATTTTTTCCTCTTAAAACTTTTTTTAAATGGTTTTCAGTTATCTCAAAAATTGCTTGATATCACTTGTCATAGAAAGTCAGCAACTGAATTTGATACTTAATTGAAATTTTGTGAATTCTTTAGTTAGGTAAAGCTCTTGTTAAGTAACATTTGCTGAATACATTTTATTTTTAGAAGTAGAAAATTTGTGAAAATGACAATGGACTCTAAGGTCACAATTCTGTAATGGCCTTTGCAAAGATATCTACAAAGTTTTGCTTGGTAATTGGGCCTTAGGTAGTTCTTGTGTGCATCTCATTGAGAGTTACCAGTCTCTTGCTTGTCTTTTTTTTTTTTAAGATTTTATTTATTTGAGAGAGAGTGAGAGGGAGAAGCCGACTCCCTGCTGAGCAGAGAGCCCGATGTAGGACTCAGTGCCAGGACTCTGGAATCATGACCTGAGCCGAAGGCAGACGGTTAATCACCTGAGCCACCCAGGCGCCCAAGAGGCCAGTCTTTTAGAGACTAGTACTTATTTGAGGTACTGGGTAGAAATATACTGAGAAAATCTAAGGAGGGAGAGGCATGTATCTCACGTGATCTGAGTTTGCTTGAGTAAAACTTAAATAACTAAGAAATTTATTTTCCCTTTTCTCAAATTGTCATAAAAGTGATCTGTGAGAGCTGATGAACTTCAGTGACCAGAGGAAATTAATAACAGTGATAATACAGTACTGATCTGTCCTCACTTGGATTTTTTTCTTGGGATCTGAAACAATGCTAATTTCCATAGACCTATAATTTTGTAAACTATATGGTGTTGATACCTATGTTACATATTAGTTACATCAAGAATATAAATTTTATTTCTCACCTCTTGAACCAGTGTCCAAGAGAGATAGGAAATGACTTGACCAGAAATGTCAGTGAAAATATGTTGCAGGTGCTTTTTAAAAAAACCTAGCTAATTTCATATGAAAATTCAGTCTGGATTTAACTGCAAGGAATATTTGCTGGAAGAGTTTTTGATTTTTAAAGAAGTATTTAATATAGATGTGGTATACACTGTGGTACAAATTTCTGTGGTTAAATACTCTGGTAACCACTGTAATTATACTTTAAAAGTACTGATCAGTGAGTATTTCCCAAAGTCTTTTAAGTGTTGACTTCTAACACCATGGAAGTATAGACTTTGCTATTTTGTTTGAATTTGTCCTCACCTCTTTCTGTTTTTTTCTTTTCAGCTGTTCTTTCTCATTTAGGTAGGTAATTGTTCTGTCAGAGACAAGTGAGTTCAGTAACTTTTCCTGAGGAGACTATCAAACTATTCAGTTATTATTATTAGGAACTCCATTGTAAGTTATATTCAGTAATTCAACCAGCATTTTTTGAGTGTTAGTGATCTCAGCCATTTGAAACAGCAGGAATCCTGAGCCTTCAGAATAACTGTTATCAAGTACCAAAAGCCTGTGGTCTTTCTTCAGAAACTCCTAAGTTGAGTGAAGAAGTTTTGCAGCACCAACAGGGTTAGTTACCTGATTTTATAGCCTGTAGATGATAAGTCACAGGATTGGCTGTTGGAGTTAGGCACACTGACAGCTGAAATGTTATTTTATTTCAAGGGAAAAGGAAGAAAAGCTATTAAAAAATAGATGGAACTATAGAAGAAGTGTTTTAAGGCCATTGCACAGAGACATACAGTCCTGTTACCATTAACTTGTGAGGGAATCACAATATTGCAGAACAGTGTAGTACATGGTGTGTCACACGATGACCTTAATCATGAACTTTTATTCTGTGTATTGTGTTTAAGGAAGTAAGGAGTTGGTGTCTTTTTAAAAGATGGTTATGAGTAAATGTTTTCAAAGCTTTGTTAATTAATGCTTTCAGTTTTCTGGAAAATTGACTTACAGAACTCGTCTGAAACCAAATAAAAATGATGCTGTTGTGTATGGCATTTCCTTTGTTTTATTTTATTGCTTTTATCTATTTCTTAATTTCCTTATTTATTATTTCAAGGGATTACCTCCCAGATAAGGCTCCGTTTACATTTAATATTTGATATCAGTGATAAGCAGTTGTCTAAAGACTAGCGCCTTTATTAATAAAGGAATTTTTGAAGCAAATAATTAGAATTTGTCAATGACCAGTTCATATAATTCAGTTCTATAGTTTTGAATGCTAATACTGAGTCTCCGTCCTTAGCACTGGTGAGTGTCCTGAGGTGAGAAATGTTTCATTTTGTAGTGGATTTTCTTTGTTGCTTTGCTTGCCTTTTCAGTCTCTTTTAATATGTTAAACTCTTTTTCTCTCTTCATTGTTAGAGTAATGATAGTATTTGATTTAAGTATA